ACCCCTTCTGTTCTACAATAAACGGCTGCCACTCCTGCTGTATCAATGTACACAAGTTGCTCATCACCCCCCGGTTATTTTGCTGCAGCCGGACTGCAGCAACTAGCTTCTTCTTCTACTTCTTTTTTTTTAATTATTTTTTTCAGTTTAAGTGGACACAATATCTTTATTTTACATTTATGTGGTGCTGAGGATCAAAATCAGTGCCTCAAGCATGCTAGGCGAGCATTCTACCACTGAATCATAACCCCAGCCCTGGCTTCTTCTTATGTCGGGAGTATTCATGTCATCCCAGTATACAAGTTTTTGGAAAATAAAATTTAGGTGAGTATTTTACCAAGCTGGTGTTCTTTAGACTAACGTTTTCTGTAGAAGCAATATCTTTCAGACTTATGTAAAATAACACATTGACTTGGGAATTTATTTATATCATTTAATATTTTGTAATTGGATAAAAATAACATGCCATCAGTAAGTTATATATAACATTTTGCATTACCATTTATACTGAAATGGAACTTAAATATATTTTTGGAAGGGAATAAGGAAATCCTGGTTTATTTAAATTTTGATAGTGTTGACAAGAAATCATTTTGTCACTCTTTCACAGAAAGAGGGTTAAGAGCTCTCATCTTGTTTGATTCATTTTGGATGTATTGTTGGATTATTTTAACTGATATTCATATGGACTCAAGAAACAATATATTATATGAAAACCTTGTAAAATAATATTTAAGAAATAGGCATAAATCAGCTCAAATATAAACCAGTTTACCTAAGAATTGTCAGAGGCCACGTCACCTGAGTTAAGAATCTGCCTTTCAACTCGTTCCATGTCAGGATGAGATCAAAGTATGCTAAACTTGAGTTCATTCAAAGTTAAGTACAAAAACTAGATTTTTTTGGTTATATAGATTACTGTGATCTTAAAAAAAAAACAGGGAATATAATATAAATCTAAGAAAAGGTTTGGGATTATAGAAATTATGTTTCTTGATTCATAGTTATTATACAAACTAAATATCTTTGCTCTTATTAATTTCATTTTGTATTTTCCCTACAAAACTTTATAATTATTGTTTGAGTGCTTCAGATAAGTTCAACTTCTATTAGAACAATCTGAGTTAATTTGAGGTAATAGGCCATCCCCTGTAGGATAGACAGGATATAAGGCTGACTTCCAGTACATAGTGATGCCAATTAAATGGTAGGGGTAAGTAACTATTAAATTATAGACATTAAAGTTAAAACCCAGTATTCCTACTTCAAGACTGGTGAAACTGGCCTCCCAGATGTTTAAAAGAAAAACATCGAGACAAAAATTAAGAAAATAAAAGGGCTTAGAAAGAATATAGCCAATATTTGCTCTTGCCTCTGAGGTCAGCTCAAATGCACACAACAAGGGGGCATCTCTAAAGACTTTGCAACTCTGGGCAACAGGATCTCCTGATCAAATGATCCATGGGACCTGAGAGAAAAGGAAGCCAACCTGTGCATATGCAGCCAAGAAAATGGTCACTGGATTGGAAAATTTCCCTAATGCTTCCAAAGGGAGCCACATGTGGCCAGCAAAATCTGGACCTATCTTGGCAGATGGCACTAGAGAAGCTAAAAGTCTTTTCCCAAGTTCCCAAGTGTGACCACCTGAGGAATCTCAGCTGACTCTTAATTATAAATAGAGTTGACCAGCTTGGTCTTAAGCATCTTAAGGAAGAGTTATAACAAAAACACCACCATACCTGGAAGTTTAAAAAGAAAGACAATAGTTCTTTTAATGTAACGTAAGATGTACCCTTGTGTCAGCCCCACCAAAAGTAAGTAAAGCTGGAGGGTATAAGGAAGGGTTCTCAGACATGAGTGCCTGATAACTATCAAAAGAGACTGTCGAAGTCACATGCTTTTTATAGACATTTTGAGACTTGAAAATCTTCCTAACTTCTTACATAAGCAGGCTTGTTCTGTGTTTGCTGTTATGATTATCTAGTCCTAAGGCATAGAGATAAAGGAATCTAATAAACACAGAGGTAGTGTTAATAGAAAGGCTTTTACAAAAATTAGATGATTTAGATATCTTAACTACAACTCATGGGACATCTGTAGCTTTATAAAAAGTACATGTTGTGTGTATGTTTCCAACAACTTTGCTAATGTTTTCAAAGTCTTTACTTGCCTCCACTCACAAATGAATGTCATGTGCTTCCCATATAGATCTTTAATAAGGTACTATCTCCATGGTTTTCAGGGACTAGCCCATAATACTGGTTGTTTACATGCTAATTGCTTACAAAAAATAATGCTTTTCTATCTTATTCTTTATTGTCTTAGCATGATCTATGCCCTGTGTACAGTAATTTATCAACTGCCACCCATGAACCATTTGACTACCCTGATGCTGAATACTCTTCATTCTCCATGCACCTCCTGATTTAGAACAAGGACTTTGGATTTTCTTCTTTTAGATTTCAACCCTTTTCAGAGAAAGTAGCCTGAATGAGTCAAATCCCAAATATTCTAAAAGAATTTAGGGTCCCAAAATCCTTGATTTGGGAATGTAAAGGGACATATGGTTGAAAATTGTGGGAACATAAGGTTAAGAGATTGACTTTATGTAATGAGCCCACTGTACTGACCAACCCCTCATGTATTTTTTTGCCAGAAAGCAATCTGCCTGCCTATAGCCCCACCTGGCCTGAGTAGACTTGTCAATTAAGATCATATGAAAATAAAATCACAAACCATGCAGTGACTAGTTGTGTCAAAGCTGTTTTTTTTTCTTCTTTCTGGTGCTATTCCTATTACCTTTTCCCTGAATAAACAAAACAAAATACTGGATAAAAATTTATTTAATTTAAATATTTCTTTCCAAAGGAATTCAATTATTTTAAGAGTGTTTCTTGAGATTTAACACACTAAGTGCTAAGTGACCTAAAGGAATAATTCTCAATGATAGTTTCTGCATGTAACAAGTATGAGTTAGCAAGCACAGTCCCTGGCATGCAAGAAATATACAACTCCTTTGCTTTAATAGATCAACTATGTACAAACTTTTAGCACTGTAAGGAAAATTGTTATAAGGACACTTAAATGGAGTTTCCATTTTAAGCTCTGCCTGAAACCTGAGGGATAGCACCGTATTATCAAACGAGTACATGTCAAGCCTTTCTGGTGCTCAAGGAGACAACATCAGTGTATGCCTGCTGGTGCCAGAAACCCATTGTTTGTCTTCCTCACTGTGGATAGAGAAAAATTTCCAAAATTGGGTGTTTAATCCCTAGGGCACTATATATGTCACATTCTGAGGCCACCCAAATGACAGACCACACTCACACTCTATCTCCAGATATGTATTATTTGAAAGGTACCCTGATGCCCAAAATTTGATGAATGATAACCCTTCCTCCACTGCACAAACAAGTATACTGTTGTAGTTTGGATGTGAAGTGTCCACAAAATCTCACATGTGAGACAATGCAAGAAGGCTCATAGAATAAATGATCTGCTTATGAGGAATGGAGCCCAGCCTTTTATGGACTAAGACCTTTAAAACCATGAACCCTCAAATAAACCTTACCTGCCAACATTGTTCTGATTAGGTCCTTTAGTTACAGCAGCAGATTAGCTGACTAAAACAACATTATATCTTTTATTTGCAACTAAGGATATTTACTATTTCTTTAAAGTACCCAAAATGATAAATTCTCCAGTTTCTCTGATGGAGCAGAGATAATCTGCCTATATTTTGAACACAAACAAAAGATTCTTATAAATACATGGCCCTATTTGCATTGCAAAGGACACTATGTGATTTGATTGTTATCTAGTGTGCCCATGGCCAAGAAAACTGCTCTATGAAACTGATAAAACGTTTTCTCTCCCACACAAAACACATAGACTAATGGATATAAATAATAAATGTTTTCAATCTTTTGGAAAACACACATTAACAACATATTCTCTCTGGATTATTACTAAAACTTTCTACTGCCTTTTCTTTACTTTTGTGTTTTATATGTTGGTGTGTGTGTGTTCTACGTAAACTAACTTCCCACTGACTTTCTCTAAACAAAAAGATGCAATATCAAAATAAAACATTATACAACAGTAGAAATCAAGAAACCAACCAACGCCCCTGAAAATCAATGGAAAGAAAGAATAGAAGGTGATTAGAATCTGGCTTCTCCCAGTTTGAGGAGATCTGCAATGCTCTCCTAAGACTTACTAGGTAACACTAGGAGCCCAAATGTTGCCCTCCTCAGGGTCTTTGGAGGGCAAATGTAATAATGGCCTTTGAGTTTCCTCTCCACTTAAGTTTTCTATCTTCTGCAAGAATGAATAGGAAAGGGCACAGTTACATTTAAACATCCTTATAAAAACTTAAAGTGATGTTACTAGAAATTTTTATACACTTCACAGTACTTAATTTGTCATCAGTTTTCTCTCCTATATGAAAAAGCAGTCCATTACTGCATCACAATATTATGGATGGATGTACCAGGAACTATAAGTAATTCTAATCTTGTAATGCCTTGAGAAAGAAATAAAAAGAAATGTGAGTCAGTGGGAAGTTAGTTTATGGAGCAAGAGTGAACTGAGATAAATTGGCAGGGAGCTGTCAAGGCAGGTTTTCATGTCTTTTGTTCAACTCTGTTTCCTATGGTGAGATTCCTCAGTGTTTCAGATTTAAAAACAAGCACCAAATAGGTTACAAATGTTTCAGTAACCATGACAATATTTGTACAAGAAGAAATGAATGACTAAAGTAGAATGAATTTGACACTGTAAAACCCATAGGAGTCAAATATCAAAGAAAGGATGCAAGGATGTGAGGTGAGTGGGGAGAGGTAGGGAGAGTGAACAAAAGCTGAGGAAGATAATTACCAGTGGAGGTGGGTGGGGAAGGGGTGGAGCTGGGAACTTAGGCTCAGGAACTAAGCTACATCCCAAGGAATATAAAAGCTTGGTTGAGGCAGGGAGGGAATACTGCCTAAAGTCCAGGAAGACACACAGGCTCAGGTCAATAGGCAAGACCGTGGTGCTCCCCATAATAGGGCTGAAAAGCTCAAAGCAGGACAAACCCAGTTCAGGATGGCAAGCATGTTCTCGTATTACCTGCTAGGAGTATGGCTAACGTTGGGCCAGTTTCCCAAGGAGACCATTGCTAATTCACTGAAGCACAGTTCTAAAGGCATTTGTAACAGCATATTTGATTTCTTTGAGGAAATATGCAAGACAAAGATGCAGAGGGGCTTAAATGTACAGGAGGAAGTGGCACTGCAAGAAGGACCACTGTCAGGTGAGAGCTTCCAACCCTTCATTCTGTCTTTTTGCACTGAGCATTAGAGGCTCTCCAGCTGCAAAGGGGCTGAAATTCCACCTTGTGGGCTCTGCTGGAGATCTCAGTGGATGTCTGTGCTCAGCCCTCTCTGCAGGGCCAGATTCATCAAAGTGTGGACTTTTCTCATTAGAGGGAGGGAAGGATGAGGGAATGGCTTTTGTATTCTTTGGCATATGAGAGGCAGTGTGTCTCCTTTCATCTATCAGCCAGGGAAACAGGGTGGTAAAAACACAGCACAGCAGGAGGAGAAGCTGCCCATAGACAAAGGGTAGGAGGGACACACTCAGGACTATTTTGATGTTTCATTATATGAAGGCAACCTTGCTTTTGCTTCTCAATAGGAAAACTGTTGCCATCTGCCTGACTTTTCTTAACATGAATATATATTCATACCACTCTTCTACTCTTTCAACCTCACAGAAGTTCCTATAATCGTCCGCTACAGAGATATAGAAGACTTAAAAGCGTTGTCAGAGTCCAATCCTGAATTTCCACAGGAACTGAAGGCAGCACTTTCTGACAGTTGGTCATTACTAAGGAAGCTAAGACAACAAAAAAAGGAGGGTGAATTTCTAAAAATATTAACACAAATGTGTTGTTTAATGGAATGTATAAAGGAAATTAGGAGTGATTTTTGTGACTGAAATGGCAATCGTTGGTTTGTTATATAATCTTGATTTGCAATCTCAATTATAATGACTACGAAACACAAGACAGTTACCAGTGATTATTAAATTATGAGCAATTTTTCTTAGTGTGTTGTTTGTGTTTTCATTTTTCTGAAAGGAACAATCTTCCCAGGGCTGTCATTTGTGCCAACATGTAATCCTTTTTGGGAAAGTGGACTTCATGACTCTTGTTAATGGTATAATAATATCACTACATTTAATTCTACAGATTTTACAATGTTTAAAGTTTATATGAGATAGCCAACAATATGACTCACTTTGACACTGCCTAACTCCAAAAGGAAGAAGGAAACAAAATTGTTTCACGGACAATATCAGCATAGACCAGTTATATACAAAACCACAGGCCTCCCAGTTTTCTACTTGTATCAAAATGTGCACGCTTTGTCTTATTGATGTGTTCTTTGCCAGCCACTAGTGTGTATACTAAACCTGTGTCATTTGGACTTTTTATGCCCAACGGTATTTGACTCCTTTCAAAGTAAGGTCCTTTCACATTGGAGGTGACCAAACTATGTCCTTTGAAATAATAGAGATCTGGTCCTTAGACATTGTTTCTGTGTAATTGGACATGGATTTATCAGTCTCTCACAGGCAAAAAATAATAAATAACAAAAAATATAAAAAAGGACAGAAAGAAAAAAATAATGAAATCCCACATTTAACTCTGTCTTGAACCCTGGGGTTGTAGCTGCAAAGTGTTAAGACTCCCATGGTCTTTAGTGTACTGTGTTTTGTGCTACAATACCCTTAGAGCTACTGTGCATATCCCCTAAACTCAGTGGTCGTCTCTATTCCTGAATACAGGAGAATTTTGCTGCAAGTGGCTTTCTATGCCCCAGAACACTTAGTGTAAATCTTCCACTCACATCTTCAATTGTTCATAGCACCACCAAGAGGCAGTGGCTGGGGAATACATTGTTAACTTTTCAGCACAGAACAGGGGATCTTTCAAAATATTGATGCCTGTCTGAACACAAGACACATTCTGATTTAGTTGTTTTAGTTTGCAACTTAAGCTTTGGAAACATTCTTAGAACCTTTCTAAGGTAATCAAATGTGGTATAATGTTGGAGAATCACTGGCCAGAGTTAACTGCCCTGGTTGAGTGTGGGGAACAAGGACAGATGTGAAGCACAGGTCATGCTACTGAGAAATTGACTCGAGGTTATTGAAGATGAATTCATTGGAAATCTATCTTTTTCTAACATACAGTTAGTTTTAGACAAAAAAATACAGTAAATGAGTAAACAAACTATAATACATTCATATCATGAAATAGTAGTCAAACAAAGCAATCAAATGTTGGTAAACACAGCGACTCATGAAAATTTATAAGGAATTAGGCTGGGTGAAAAGAGCCTAACAAGAGTTAATAGGGAGGGTACAAATGAATGAAATTTTTATTCAAAGGTATAAAATATTCTCTGCCTATAGATGGTGTGATCTTATGTATAAAAATTTGAAGTCTGGAAAGTTTTTTTTTTAACAGTTGTAAAAAATTTTCATAAAAAGGATAATAAACAATAGGCAAAACTGTTTATCTCTGAACATCCAAATCCATATTGGAATAGCAGTGACATTTTCAATGCAGTCTAAAATAATCAAAAACATTGGTATGTACTTAAGGAGACATCTAATCAATATTGCTGAAAGATACTGAATAAGAATAGTCAGTGGTCAGGAATCTGACATAATGGGCCCCAATTGAGATCTTGTTCAAATGCAGAAGCCACAGCTGGAGGCTAATTGGTAGAAATTATTAATAGGTATCATCATGACCTATTTTAAATGTAAAAGGCCTTGAGGCTCACCTGTGGGAATATCTCCAGCCAACTCTTTTTCCCAGAGGTGGAAAAAAGGGAAGTTGGGTTTGGACCCAGATGGAAGTTATAGGAAGGTGCTATCCTTGGTGCTCTTTTCAATGCCCCTTTACATAGATTTTTGATCAATGATTTTGACACTCTTTCCAATGCCTGTTTAATGTAGATTTTGCTCCATGCAATACCCAGAACCATATATACACTCCTAAGACAGCACACCAATACAAATTTTTTTTTCTGTTACTTGGCCCCTTCCCATATGGTTGCAGTTCTCTCCTTGCTCACTCACTTATACTCATGTATATCCTGCTCCTTTTGCTCTTTTTGGGGGGGCAGGGGGCAGAAAGGGTGGCAGAGTGGCTTTTTGCCAAGTGGTCATATTTACTTATACCAATAGGTTACATTAGGTCATTAGTACCACTTTGTTGTTTAGAATATCAGTAAAGTTCCTTATGCTGCAGTTACATTTTACAGTTACAATGTGCAATGTTAGGAGCTTTGTTCAGTTCTCAAGAAAGTCCAATGTCTGAACTTACTATAGGGCAGGCAGCTCCTGGATTATTGGAGCTTGATGAAACATTGTAGTTACCTACAAATTTTTCTATTTCCAGGAGCTAGGTGCCTAAGATAAAGGTTGAAACTCTCATGAAGAGCATTGCTACAGTAACCAGGAATCCCCTGTTTTGACATGAGCGTTTCCAAGTAGCCAGGTATACTGCATCTTTTCACAGAAACTTCCCAGCAGTCAGACATTATGTACCTTTGAACAGAAACTTCCTAGCCACCAAGCATGCCACAATCATGAAGAGTATTAGAGACCCGATCCCCAAAACAGAACTCCTACACCCGTTTCTGTTTTTTAAGGCCTTTTGGATGAATAGTACTTATTTTCTTCTTAATGCTGGTGGGGACAAAAAATAGGATAGGCATTGATAACAGCAAGCTCAACATAACAATCCCAGTATTGATATTAGTAAAGATATGCCTATGAATAATTATTTGACCCAAGAAAAATTGGGTAATCATGAAGTTAGTCAATCCAATAGGTCTTAACCTTCATCATCTTGTTGAATCTTTGTAACAATATTTTAAGGTAATTTATCTCCTTAGAAAGAGAATTACTATAATCGCTTATATTAAAGAAAAAAATTATTAAACTCTTGACATTCTTTTTAATGTAATAATAATAAATAATCAGTTGCAGCCTGATTGTCAAGTGTGGCTTGATAATTTTTTTGTTCTTCATTAAGCATAATAATAGCTATAGAAGTATGATTAATATTTTTTACCATAGCACAGGCCAATTTTATAGTGGTTTTGTAAATCTCAACAGGTAGTCCAGGGATATCCACTAAGGAAAAAGTCGAAGTGTCAAATTTTGCTTTAGAAAAAAGGCTCACTGAATCATCACATATTTTATCAAGGGGAATAGCCTTTTTATTAATAAATTTTTCAGGATGGTGGCCTACTAAATCTTGTTGAGATGGTAAGAACACAGTTAGCCTGTTTAGACAACAATGTGTACCATGGGGGATTTTTGTTATATATAACAATGCTGGCCAATAGTTTTAGAAGTTAAGAAGTCTGACTGTACTGAATTTCCATAGCTGTTGTAATACAACTGAACAACATTATTGTTAAGACCAAAGCATTTACAGAGTTTTGTGTGAGTTTAGTGATCAAAGTAGTAACTAAGTTTTCTGCAATACATTTTAACACCATTTGAGGCAACATTTGTTGAGTTGATGCTGTTAATGATTTTTTATTTCCCCAAATCACTGAAAGTCTAGTAGCTTGAGATACTGTTTCAGTGTATCTTCTCTTTTGAGGAAAGTGATCATTATACTTTTATTCGGTGGGATTCTCCTCATCTACAATAAAAGAAAACTTGGGAATCAGGTTGTGAAGTCTCTGATGCCCATTCATAATTGATAGGTCTCATGCATGGAGCTGGAATCTAAACTGGACCTGTTGGTGTGAGCACAGCAGTCTATTATTTTTTCCCCCACATGATCAGAGGCATAGGGTCTTATCTCTCTGGGTTTTGTGCAACCCTATATTTTACATAAATTTTTGGTAAAAGCTGATTGGGAATAAAATGTCTATCCAAAGCAGATGACCAATTGTAAATATAATCTTTGTATTATATCTTGAGTGCATAAACTGTAAATAAAACAATATTTAAAATATTATTTATTGAGAGAGACTAGGTCCCCTTTATTGTTTTTGTTTAAAAGGCATGTTTTAAGAGTACAATGCACTCATTCAACCAAAGCTTGTCCAGTAAGATTATAAGAAATACCATAATTTGAAATTATATTTCATTGAGTACAAAGTTATGAAAAAGTATAAGATATATATGTAGGAGTATTATCTGTTTTTAAATGAATAGGCTTGCCCAGGGTGTCAAAACAAAGTAATAAATGAGAAATGTAAGTGGATATCTTATTAGACCTTTGGGCAGTAGCCCAAATAAACTTGAGATCAGTATCAATAAAAACATGAAAAAAGGAGTAAATGTTGAGAGCCATAGCCAAAGGGGCCCCAGCAAACTTCCAGCTGCCGGCTGATGATTGGCTCACAGCGGCCCCAGCAACATCTAGCTGATTGGCTCCTCTGTGGTGATGAACATTGGGCTGTTTCCCTGCCCTTCAGACTGCCAGCTGATGATCGGCACACAGAGGCCCCAGCAACATCTAGCTGATTGGCTTCTCTGTGGTGATGCTCATTGGGCTGTTTCCCTGCCCTTTCAGATCACGGAGCTGCTCATTGGGGGACTTCTTTGGCTCCGCCCATGCGACCCAGCCAATCGGCCTCAAGAGCAGGAGGATATTGGGAGGTGGTGAGGCTTGTGTTGGTGTGAGAGGCTTGTGGGAAGCTGGTGGTGGCAGTTGGGCTCTGAGGGTTTTTTCCTGAGGAGCTGTTTTGTTTGGCGTTTGTAGTTCTAAAAATAAAGTTAGTTTCTTTTGACAAGTGGCTCCTGAATTGTGCCCAGCCAGACTGCGGCAGTAAAGATGAAAAGGAGGGAAATGTGTAACATCCATTTTTTAAAGTGTATTAGAATGTAGACCTCATGAATTTACAGACTCCCACATAGATACCTGAAAGAATATACATTAAGAACAGTTGCTAACTATACCACAAGTCTTTTGAAGAGATAGAGAACATCTTTGTTAATGATCCAGCATTTTGATGAAAAAATCCATGGGATTTTACAGCATCTGTCAATGTCCCAGAAGGTA